TGGTAAGCATTTGGAGGTAACCCTATGAGGAAGAGTCGAGGGAGTCTGCCCCTACCAACTCTTTACTCTTGGCCATGTTTGTGGAATTCACAAACTGAGTGACCACTCCTATGTGTGCCCCTTTGTAGGGCCAGGGGGCGGACACCTATATTTCAGAATCATGTCAGAGTTTCCCAGACACCTTAGCACTGACCTGTAACTTTAACCTGTCCAGAAAAAGGAAGAAAACGCGTTTGTTCTCTAACTGAAGTACCTCACATTACTGGCTTTGGGATTAGGCAAACCCCCAGAAGGTCTATAATAGTCCAATCATTTATTTTTCAAACTCTGAAGTCATTCATTCAACTCTGAGGTCTTCAGAGCCAAAGACTTTCATGGGAGCTTTGCAGTTCCAAGGAATCCCAAGAAATCCCAATCCCAAGGAATCCCAATCCCAAGGAATGCCCAAACAGGAAAGGAGTTGAGAACAGGACTCTTTCGTTTCAGTCTTACTATCTGACCTACTAGTAACAATGCTTACAGTATTTTACATTCTAGAATGTTCCCCCCTATGTGATGCATCTACCCGCTACTGACAAACCTGGCAGAACCACCAATCATCCGACAGAAGACATCTCAGGCAAATAACAGGCAAACCCAAGTCTGGAATCCAAGTCTCCTGTTGCTGGTCTTGTACTCTTTGGGCCTCTACAGCTGAGACGCCGGGTGGAACCTGGTCAAGTTCCTTTCACTGTGGGGGGGGGGGGGGGTGTTTCCCTAAGAATCTATACAGAAGCACTATCATCACGGAAGCCACCCCCTGTAACCCCACTGTGGAGCTGAATTCCACAGACATGGATCAAGTCCTTGGGGTCCATTCCATTCACTCTTCTCTCTGCTCTCGTCTGCAAATCTCAACCCAGTCACCTGGAAGGACTAGGCAGCTCAGAGCTGACTTTGTCTGGCTGGAAATTTCTAGACTCAGCGACAGCTGGTCAGCTCCTTCCTCAAACACAGATGAGCTCACCACTGATGCCCGATAGTCCAGGCTGGGTGTGGTCCTGGTCACCTCTGCCTTATAGGACAAGCATCCATGCTCGGAGAGGGGCCTGATTAATGGTTGGGTTATTGCTTTGTGTTTTGTTTTTTTGGGTAATACTCAGAAATAGATGCTTCTTTCCAAAACTACAAGTTAAAAAGTAGTCCGTAGGAAAGGGGTATGGATGTTTTCTTTACTAGGATTCTAAATAATATTCAGCTCAGCCTTTGCATCATGTTTACCAATGAAGCGCCATAGGAAACAGGTTTCAATCAGCTCTACCAAGAGTCCATGTTGCTTGCAAGCAATCTCTGTAGCTTCTGAAAGTTTCTAGAATTTTTGGTGACTAAATTAGTCTTCGCACAAAGCATTCATTTTTGTTCGACTCTTCTCTTTTAAATACTCTGGTGTTTAGTGACCATCTCTCTTAATGGGATATTCTAAGATTCTTTTTCAAAGTCTTTGTTTAATCACTGCCTTAGCATTCTGGTTAAATTGGGCTTTTAACAAACTGGCCTGCAGGGGACATGTTTTTAAATTATTCTCAAGCTTTCCCTACCTCTTCAAAGTTTTCCCAAACTACTTAAAAGCCTCTCAGCCTGGAGGAAAGGATGATAAATTAGATGATTCTGCAAGGTCTCGGTTGCCTGGAGGGGCCTTCATCTAATCCACTTTGTCTAACCAGAAACTTGCCTCATAAGAACCAGACTCATTCTCATGTTGTATACTTTGAACACATGTGTTCACTGTAAAGTTCCTCAGAGATCCAAAATGGGCATAGGAAGCCCTACGGTTTCCTCCTAGGGTATCCTCAAAGGCATGGACACACTCTTTTTCTGTCCTTTTCTTGTCTACAGCAAAGGCCACATTTGCCTTCTTGGTTCAAATTTCGTTTCTTCACACAAGTGGCAACTTCAATATGGATCCCAGAAAGATACAATTAAACAGTCATTCTTGGGCACCTGGGTGGCTCAGTAGATTAAGCGTCTGCCCCTTGATTTCCCCTCAGGTCATGATCTCAAGGTCCTGGGATCGAGCCCCAATTAGGGTTCTGTGCTCAGTGGGGAGTCTGTTTGAGGAGTCTCTCTCTCACTCTCTCTCTTTCTCCCCCTCTGCCCCTTCTTCCACCTAAACTCACATGTGTTCTCTCTCTCTCAAATCTTTAAAAAAAAAAAAAAAAAGTCATTCTAAAAGCAAGGATGTAAAATGAAAAGTATGCTGTTTATACATATTTTTAAAATCTAGGCACACATGCAATTCACAATCACAATGAGATCATTTCACACCCATCAGGAGGGTTATTACTTAAAAAAAAAAAAAAGAAAAGAAAAAAAAACGGAAAATAACAAGTGTTGACAAGGACAGGGAGAAATCAGAACCCTGGGCACTGCTGATGAGAACAGAAATTGGTGCAGCCACTGTGCAACATTAATCACAGAACTACCAGGGGACCCAGCAATTCCATTTGTAAGTGTGTTTCAAGAGCTGAAAGTAGGACCACAGACCCTTGTTCACCCATGTTTACAACAGCATTATTCACAATACCAAAAGGCAGAAACACCCCCAAATGTTTATCAACAGATGAACAAAATGTGGTACACACATACAATGGAATATTCTTTAGCCTTTCAGAAACATGCAATTCTGAAATAATCTAAAACACAGATAAACCTTGAAGACTTGGTGCTCAGTGAAACAAGCCAGAAACAAGAGGATACACTGTAGGACTCCACTCCTGTGAGGTGCTCAGTAAGAGGCAAATTCTCAGTCTCTTAGTCTTCTCGTGTAGACTGAGGTGGAACAGAGGTGGCCAGGGGCTGCTGGGCAGGGACTTGGGGAGGAGGTGTTGCTGCCAGGGTGGAGATTTTCAGTCTGAGAAGATTGTGTCCTAGAGATGGATAGTAGTGATGATGGAACAACACTGGGAATGTACCAAATGCCATTGAGCAGTACACCTAAAAATGGTAACCTTTTTTGTATATTTCACCACAATTAAAAAAAATAATGTGGCAAAAATTTTCAACCCTCGTAAGTTAGGAGAAAGGAAATTACCAGGTGAGAGGTTAATAGAACAATGGGTGACTTTTCCAGGTTCCAACTGTTCCAAGAGCTGCTATAACTTTTAAAGTCGGTGCATTTACCCCACACTCACTAGTGCACAAAGAAACACATGGGGCAGGTAAGAATAACAGTCAGGGTCGGTGAGATTTTAGCACTAACTCAGTGAAGCACACTGAAGGCCAGTTATTAGGTCAGGGCAGCCGAAGTAGATGGGAACAGAGCAAAGGAGAAGATATCTTATAGGCTCGCCTGTTTTTCTCCTTCTCCTGTTTTGTCTTGAAAGCCAGCCCCTCGGTCCTAAGCCCCAAGGCCCTGACTATCTTGGATATATGTGCACAGATCACAGGAACACCTGTGTATGCACACATCTGACACCCACAATGCCCTAGACCATTGCGTAAAACCTTCTTGGCCCACCATCGGCATGCAGCACTGACCAACAGCAAGGATGTTCCCCTGCCCTGGAAGTCTAACAAGTCAGCAGATTTAGCTGACAGAAAGCCAAGGGATTTTCTGTGTACAGCAATGTCATTCACAGAACTCCCCAACTCTCATGGGTAAGCCATAACCTTCATGTCTTTTTTTTTAATTTGAGACTACAAACCCAAGTTCAACACAAACCTCAAGGAGTCACCTCTCCATCACTGGTCCCCAAGGGCAGAAAAGGGACATGTATCATCTGGATTCCACACAGACTCACATTTTTTTTTAATAAAGATTTTATTTAAAACACAGAGAGAGAGAGAGAGAAAGAGAGAGAGAGAGAGAGAAGCAGAATCCCTGCTGAGCAAAAAACCTGATGAGGGGTTCTATCCCAGGCCCTGAGATCATGACCTGAGCTGAAGGCAGATGCTTAATCAACTAAGCCACCCAGGCACCCCTAAGCTCACGTATTTTCTATTTAACTTAAGGAGCCTAGCACATGTCAGATTTGCCTATGCTACCTTATGTTTGTTCAGGTGACGTTACACTCCCCAGTGAGACTAGGAAAATAAACAGCAATGTAAAAACCAACACACAGAATGGGAATTCCTACACATACCCACAGAGGACAACCTATACCTGAATCACATTATTTCAAGTCCTTTTAAATGCAGACTCCCAATCTGGGAGACAGTGGGGGACTCTTTCGCTACATCCATGAAACATTCACCCATGCTAATAACCACAGGCTGTTCTAATTAATTACCTGAGATACCACAGATTTCAGAATTTTTTTATGTTGCTTTTTTTTTTTTTTTAATTCTGTTAGCTTCCTTGACCCACTTTTTCACGCCTTGGCTGTAACACTTGAGAAATTAAAATTTATCCCAATAGGATATAATTAAATGTTAAATATAGCAACTAAAATCTAATTTCATTGAAAGTCTCCTTTCGGAGGTGCCCCGGTGTTGGTTTGGCTAGAAGTCAGCATGGACAACTCTGGATTCAGGCACTTCCAACCACGCTACATTTGTAAAGGGTGCAGCTGAGAGAGGGGAAGAAGCACCCCCCACCTGGATCTGATTGTGACTTTGGTCTTCCTCTCCAACTATTTGAAGACCTAGGCGATTTCATAGCAGCTTTGCCTAACATCTAGCCCACTCCCTAGCAGGAGGGCTCAATCATGGTGCGGTTTCTTACAGAAATTAGAAAATGGGTCTATTCCCCTATGAAAGTTGCAGACAAAATACTAATCACTGGCTACTGTCACTAGCCACTATCTTGCTTTGAAAAAAGAAATGAACGTCACTCCTCCAAGGCAATTCCAGAAATGCGTTAAGTACCCTGAACGTCCTTCTCTCCTCCACCATCCCTCTTCAGCCCTCACAAGATCCTGAGAAGAGAACAGCTCACCCTCTTCTACGGTTACCTAAGAAACAATCTCAGCAGTGCCTCTGAGCCCCGAGCAGTGTATCTATACAACAATCCCTCCACTTACTAGTCTCTCAAGAGTTTTCTTCCATCCACGCTTGGCAGATGCTCCAATAAGTAGGGTTTTTCCAACACCCTGGGAAGTGAACACTGACCATCCATTTCCCGCACTCCAAATTCCAGACCAGCTGGGAGCCCCACGAAGGGGCATCTGAATTCAGGGCTTGCATCTGTCTGGATAAAGGCACTGCTACTGTTGCCCCTGGTGACCACACTCACTTTGGCAGAAGAAGCTGTGGTAAATATTTCCCTGGAGAGTCAATTCACATCCACCCCGTGCCTTTGTGCAAGGAAACAACTTCTTGCTAATTTATCTTGAGAAAAATCTTCTCTGAAAGTTTACAATGCTTCAAGGCAGCCGTCACTCTCTCGCTTCTGACTTCTATTACTTATCATGGAGCTCCAAACTGGCTCAAACCAGAACAAACCTCAATGTCCTTGGAGAAGCTACCAACTCACAGCAGAGTTAAGAGCAGGGAAAGAGATTCTCTGATACTCAATATTCGTTAGTGGCTTCAGGGCTCCACCACCCACCTCAGAAATAAATTAAAGTTAGCAAGCTGTACCAGAGGGATGCCTGAATACTGAGTTGCCCGACTAGAAAAAACCTACCAGGAAAAAATGCACAAAACACACTTGTAGGGTGACTCAGTTTTTCAAACTGCTTTTAGGAACCAGTATGTAACTTCAGCCCCACAACAAGCCTGTGGAATAAGCTGAGTGTTATCCCTACCCCACAGGTAAAAGAAGTAATGCAGGGGCATCTGGGTGGCCAAGTCAGTTACGTGTCTGCCTTCAGCTCAGGTGGTGATCCCAGGGTCCTGGATCCAGCCCCGCATTGGGCTCCCTGCTACCTGCCGCTCCCCATTTGTGCTCTCTCTCTGACAAGTGGAAGGGAGGGAGGGAGGGAGGGAGGGAAGGAGGGAGGGTGGGTAATGGCGCTTATCCACAAGTACTCAAAAGCTAGAACAGGATGAGCACCTTACAAACCCAACTGCTTTGGCAGAGACTGTTGTCACCAGGCAAAGAACCCTCGCGATTCAAAAAAAAAAAAAAAAATACACACACACATCTCTCCATCACCAAGAAGCAGGACTTCACGTAGGATAATCTCTGGGGTTATTAGAGAAAACCAATAACATAACAGAAGTGACACAAAGCTGCACCAGAAGACCAGGTTTATACCGCTCTGCTACAGGCTTTCCTCATCATAGCTTACAATGACCTCATTACCAGCACATCCGACCCTTAAGGAGGTATTTTCTACTGGGATATTTTCATATCTGTGTGCTTCAGGCACACAAGTTCAACAAGTCCCAGAGAACCTGAAGGATCTTTGTATTCATTATTTCCATGCATCTTCATCACGTTTCCCTGAAAAATAACATCAGCTAATAGATATACTCGAGGGCTCTATCGCTTTATTAAATTTTGTGTAATAGCATTACAGGTGGCAACCAGTGAGTGACTACGGCTGAAAGTTAATGTGAGTGTGTGGAGGACACAATGACCTCAGAGATAAGAAAAGCCAATGACCACCTTGATTCAACCAAAACCGCGAGAAGGGACTGATAGAAACTGGTAGGGTATTAAGATTAGAGCTTACTAAGGTGGGCTAAACCCTCTGAGGTGGGCCCTAGGATCTGGATGAAGTGTGCCTAGCCACTCAGATTTCTCCTGATGGGCTGTTGTACGCCAGATATCACCGCATGAAGGACAGAAACATCCTTGCTGCTGAAGAGCTAACAGTCTCATGGGAACACTAGAAAGCTTCCATACTTATTCCAGAGAGCCAACAACTCAACAGTGGACATGTCCACTTCTCACTGGAGCATCTCCAAGGGCAGGTGACACTGGGTGAGAGCTTTAATGAAAGTTATTGTAAGCAATTGCAGTAAGTAACACCTCCTGTGGGAGGGATTCAAGCAGGAAAGAAGGACAAAATCATTCCATTGCCAGTTAGGTTCATCAAGAACCATGAACTTTCCCAAATACAAGCAGTGTACCAAAAGCAGAGATAAGAGAGTCTGTATTAGACTATCATCAGTCAAGGATGCACCCTATAACCCTTGAGATAAACATGAAAAAAAAAAAAGTAAAAGAATTAATAAGTCAATAAACAGGAAAAATGAACGAACAACTCTTTGCTTAACCCAAAAGAGGAGGAAGGAGAGAAAAGAACATAAAAAAGGTAGATCAAATAGAACCCAAATCGTAAATGGTGGATAAAACCTCAAATATCAGCAATCACATGAAAGGTAAATGAATCAACCACCTGTATTAAAGTAACAGATAAAAACAAGAGAAGGGACGCAAGCGCATTACCAAAACTATGAAAGAGGGTGAAAGCTGTCACTTGGGCCTGGTCTTGGTGCCCACAACAGGGAGCCTGCCAAGTTGAGCACAATCCTGTGTGCGTCAGTATCTCTAGCTCTCACAACTCATTTGTCTGCATCCATGTACTGTTAAGAAAGCAAATCACTTTATTGGAAAGGCCATAGAAAATTCTGCTGTCTTGCTGCTTCTTAACTGAGAGAGCCCTTGTTCCTCCCTGCTAGGAATAATTCATTTAGTGCATCCTTGCATATGCGTATTAAACCCTGCATTGTAGCTAAATTATCACATTGTGTTACTGGAAGCTGCCTAACAACTTTTTGGGGGGGGGGACACCACAAATCATGGAAAGGGGTCCTTTTTTCCTGCCCACATTCTTTGCTCTGCCCTCCCCCTCCCCCCAACCACCAAGTCCCAGACTCCAAGTACCAGGCTCCATTAGTACAGTAATAAAACCACTACTGTTTGGTTAGCAGTAATGAGTTCTAAAAGCATCAATGGAGTGTTTCATGGAGAAGGGCTACTGTTAGGTGCAGCAAATGTTCCCGGCATCAGTCAACTACAGTAGATTGTAGCAGCCTTGTTTTAAGCATGTCAGGAATGCAATGAAAAATAGCACAATCCGTGCTCCTCAAGGACAAGAAGATTTGGCTCAGACAATCAAACAAAATGACCAATGACTAAACACACTCATTTCTACAGAGGCTGGCTCCATTGTTTCCGTGTCCTTAAATGTGGGTGTAATTATTGTCCTAGAGCTGCAAGGTGGCTTCTGCTGCTGTGGCTTACCCCACAAAATATCAGTCACTTTGACTTCCTGACAGTCTCTGCTACAAAGATATCCTTTAGCCCTTTGTATCAGTTAACTCTTCAAGGAAAGGAAGGAAGGGGGGAAAAAAGAGAAACAGAAAAAGACTCAAATGAACTTTTGTGTCAGTTGTCTGCTTACTGAGTTCAAGGACAGAACTGAGGGGGCTGGGTAGGGGACCCTCCTGGGTCTCCATTTCTGCATCAGGTTTGCTGGGTTGAACCACAGGAGATCCCTATCATTCAACTATTTTTGACCTGTAATAATAGCAAGATCAGAAGGCTCAAAGAAAGGGCCACAGAAACACTTGATCACTTTAGCTGAGATTAAATATTTAAGTTTCCGTTTCAGTTTACCTCCTTACTACTACTATTACTACTTTCTGAAAAGTTTCTTCACTTAAAAAAAAAAATCAATTTTTCTCTAATACAACTACTAGCCAGAGAAGTACTCTGGTAACTTCATGCTTTGGTCAATCCAAGTTTCTCCATTCTTCTCTACCAAAAGTTCCCTCTAGTTTTTTGGTAGGGCAGGGATTGCTTTGTTTGGTTTTTGTCTTATAGTAGGTGCAATGGCACTTTACACCTACGGATGAAGAAACAGCAAGATGAAGACTATTCCCGGTCCTCCCTGTCCCTTCCCTGAAGATGGAAACAACTTCAATATCCTTGCCAAGACCAGACAATGGCCGGCTTCCCTTCCACACAGAGGGGCACAAGGAAGAAGAAAAGAAGAAACACATCAATACTTGAAACACAGAAACACATCAATACTTGAATTAGCATGATAAATTACAGAAATGAGACAGAAAGTGACACAGGAAATTGGTATGGATGAAGGAAAGAAGAATGATAGAAGGAAATGGACAGGCTTAATATTCCATGAAAGTCTTTAATTATTTTGATTTTTGTCAATACGGAATTATCAGAAATGCCATACAAAATTAATGCCTGATAGATCAAAAATCTTTGAATACCTACCATCTAGCCACAGAATATGAATCAGACTGGAACCAAAAATTCTTTCTGCCTTTCTCCTGTCCCATATGAATTTTATTGTCTTTATAAAGACATATGTCTTTTATTAATAGAGGCCCTAAAAATAGGTTAATCCAGGAAAAAGTTAAAATCAATTCAACAGAAGACTGGCATAAATTCTGTTTCTAATTTTAAAAAAGCTAATGTATATTTAACAAGTATGGAGGAAAGGAAGGATAGATCTAAGACTGAAGAGAAGACAGAATCAGAAAATAATCTCGTCTAAAGGGCACTCAAATGAGATTCGTGTGTAAACTGCATATTGTCTATCCCCCGCTTCCCTCCTATCCTTGGGGAAGAAGAGTCTTTTGGTGTTCTTTCTGTGCCCTATTTAGCTTATGAAAACAATACACAAGGAGAGCCTTCAACGGGCTCCAAATGCCACTGGCCGTGAACTCAAGGTTAACCAAAAGAGCAAGAACCAGCCTCCTTCATACAGGTTATACAAAGAAGAATGAATTTATTAAGTGATAACACAGTCAAGGAAATGGCAGCGAACAGACAACACTCCAGCTGATGAAGAATCCCTAGGCAGAAGATCTTAAGAAGGAGATTAGTCCCCCTCAAATGACTGTGACCTAGCATTTGACTTCCAAATAACACTTGGGAGGCAGCTGCGAGGCCACCAACATGGGGTCACCTCCCCTGACAAGTTACACCCTAGAACCAGCACACGCCCCTGCTCTCTTCAAACGTGGCTCTATGTTCAATTGAAAGCTCGACTCCAAAGGAGACAAAGGTTATTTTATGATGTCAAATAAAAGGGTACCACTGTGTGCTCAGCTACCTGGGAGTTCAGTCGCACAGGAGTTACTGAGTTAACTTGCACCATTCAGCATGCTAGGAATGTGCTGAGGTTTCCTGGGAGTAAAACAGAGGTGGAGCTGGCCCGGGTTGTGGGGGGAGAGTGCAGGGACAGCACTGAGCCCTAGCTGGTAGAGCAAGCACATAACCAGGGACCCAATGCCTGAGCTCAGCCATAACCCT